TAGTGGCAGGAGAAGGAGATCTAGTAGCAGTAGTAGCATTAGTGGTTGTTGTCGTTGCTGCTGTTGTTTAGGTGGTAATACTAGTTGTAGCAGTAGTAGTAGTAGTAGTAGTAGTAGTAGTAGTAGTAGCAGAACTAGTAGTTGTCCATTCTGCCCTGGCCGGTCTGTTGCGATTGGATTCGCCCAAGTGCTACTGCGAAGCAACACTCGACTTCCCGATTGGCCACGCCAGAAGATTATCCTCCAAGCTGAACAAATAACCCGAGCCCTCACTGAGCCCGCGAATCGGGTGACCGCTGGCTCCTTGGACTGATCCCTGCCAGTTGCAACCGCTGCCACCGCAGCCGATCCCACAACTACTATTCTTGGTATTGCCACCAATGCGACCGCGACCTCAAGCGCTACCGAAAGCTTCCACTGCCCAACCAACAAGTAGCAAACTGCCCCCTTCTACTACGACGACGACAGTGACTATTACTACTACTACTTCTACTACCACTACTGCTGCTATTCCTTTTCTACTGTCATGTCCGTCCAGCATTATTACCGCGATCACTTCGACGGTAGTAAGGAGGACCACGAATGCAGATAGTTCTTGGTGGACGACAGACCAGCAGTTCCCGCTTTCGGCATCATATCAGTTTGCACTGAGCCGCAGTGTAGAAACCGTCAGGTATCCCGTCGGGAACGTACTCTGTGCCATCGCGGGAGGCTTTCGCAGGGCGAAACTCACTCTCGTCCGTATCTGTGGTTTCCTGACATGAACTTCTGCCGGCAGTTGAATTTCCTATAAACTCGACGGAGCTTTCTGAAATCACGCCAAGACTCATGGAGATCTATGTGCATTAGCACTGGCGACTTTACACTTGATACCAGCTTCATGACGGCGGTTGCCTCTTCAGACTCCGATTCCTGCTTGAACGATCGGTTTGGGTCCACTGCTTTGGGGTTCCAGCGGTTGATGGTCTCATACCCCCACGGACTCACGCATGGGGCCACCAAGATATCGAAGTCACCTGCGTAGTCTTTGGCCCGGGATTCAAGAAACCGGAGAGCCCCTTGCACTCCACTGGTCTCATATCCGTGAACGCCGCCGGTGATCAGAACAACGGGCTTGCCGGTCGTACCAAAGCCATGCGTCTTGATTGCAAAAAGGGGGTATTTCTCTGTGTCATAGGAGAGGGCACCGTATTGAACAACCTCAAAATCGCCCTCAAGCTTCTTGATCTTTGAGACCACCTCCTCGTGGTAGGACCTCATTAAGGAAGACAGCAACATATAGGTGTTGCGGCAAGCTGTGGAAACTTGCTAGGGTGTGACAGATGGATGGATGTCGGAAAACAGCGCCACTGGAACCACGCCCCTGCAGTACTGGGAACCACAGCTTCAACCCTAAACCCTCAACCCTACACCTTGAGAGTTGCCTTTGCACGGAACAAGTTTCAAAATCTGCAGATGGACTCGGCAATTTCAAACACCAGAATCACAGAATTCCCGTCCTAGGGGCCGTTTTACGTTCTGTCTTGCCAGCCACTCCTCTCTTTCCGGCACCTCCCATTTAGTGCCAGGCTTCCCAACTGGATAGAAATGCCTTGGCTGGATAGACAGCCTCTATACACACTTGAAACTTTTTCGGATCTATTCTCACTTACATACTCTTCTCAGAGAACTTTTCAGTATATCAGTCTACGCATGATACTTCTACAGCCTTCAACTTGAAAAAGCCGATTCTGGCTGGTAGCACCGAGTCGCGCCATGGCACTGAAGCCAGGTGCTTCTGCACAACGCCGGAGGATCCCGGCCCCAAGCGCACAGGCTACTCCTTAGAACCCAAACAGCTGTAGGGTTTATAGGGTGTCAGCACTCACAAGGGTTTAGGGTTTAGGGCTGAGGGTTTAGGGAGTGGAAAAGCAATCTTGAGCCCAAAGCACCCAAAACAGGGAAAACAGGGGCATCTGCTGTTCCGGATCCAGCTTCCCAGCCGAAAGGCCTGCTGAACTGGCTTCCGTGGCGTCCGCAGGAGACGGGCCATGGAAGGACTCGGGCGCTCTGAAAACTTTCGGCTGCGGAAAGCGCCATAAGCCGGGGAACCCTTTTAGGGCCATGTATGCATATCAGCACCTATATGGGAGTTTCCGAAAATTAGGGGTACCTTATTTTGGGGTCCTTATAATAAGGATCCTATTATTTAGGGTGCTATATTAGGGCCCCTATTTTCGGAAACTCCCATATAGAGACTACCTTAAGACCGAAGTAAGTAAGTATATACTAGACGGGCACAAGGGCCTTTAGGGCAGAAGGCTTAGGAAGTGTTTGGGCGAAGACCTGGACTGCACTCTAAGCCTTCATGAATGTGGGTTTTTCAGGACCTTCAAGGCCCCTAACCCCTAAACCCCCAAACCCTAAACTTACAACCCCAAAGACCCTAAAACCCCAACCCCTCAAAGGACCCACACCACCCCAAGATCTAACCCCCCCTACCTTGCCCCCTACATCCCCCTACCTTGCAGAAGAAGCTCCCCTTCTGGTGCATCTCCGCGAGAACTTGCATGGCGCTCGCCCATTCGCCTGCCTTTCCACAGGCGCTGATCGCGATGCCTCGGCTTAAAGTCATGTAGGATTTGTTTTAGGGTTCAAGGCTTAGGGTTTAGGGTTCAAGGTTTAGGGTTTAGGGTTGAAGGTTTAGGGTTTAGGGTTGAGGGTTTAGGGTTGAAGGCTTAGGGTTTAGGGTTGAAGGTCTAGCCACCAAAACTCCTATCACAAATGTCCGGCAGAAGGCCCGGTCTAGACCTCAAAAGCCTGACTTATAATCCTTAAACCATCTAAACCCGAAGCAAACCTTGCAGGGTATCAGTGATCCAGAGCTCAAACGACTTGGGCTCCTATCAACGAAGACCCCTCCTAACACGTCTTCCTTAGTCGGCTTTTCAACGGGTTGAAGGATTTTCTTTGTCTCCCTTAATCCCTAAACCCTAAACCCTAAACCAAAATCCATGATACAGCCCATCCGTGGGTTCAGCAGCCTCCAGTCCAAAAGTCATAGCGGCCCTTAGAGGTGGGGGGGGTAGGGGGGAGGGGGGGTAGGGGGCCGTAATGCCAGCAATAAAGCCTATATTGAAGGAAGAACAGTCCCCCACTCCCCTCCCCCCTAAAAGCCCTATGAAAGAAGAGAAATCCTAGGACGGGTTTCATCCTATATACTGCTTACGGGCCTGAAGTTATCTTAAAACAGGCTTGTGCTAATCCTTTCATTCATGCCCTGAGAGGATCTGCACTAAGCCCTAAGGGTCCAAAGTCAAAGGACTCAGCAGTGAGGTACCTGTGTTTCGGATAGTACTTCTGTATGGTTGGTATATGGCACAGCATATGATTCTTAGGTATTTCGGCGGGTAGGGTAGGCTGCAAGAGCTTCATGAAGCTCGTCAAGCCTTCGGCCTGCGCATAGAGGAAGAGGCATCATATTACAAGCCTGTCTACGTTGCAGACTTCCGTAAGCACAAAACCTGAAACCCGAAGCCGTTAAAGCCCGTAAGCCTTAAACCCTAGATTCGAGTGCTTTTGACTCGGACTTCAGAGAGCGCTCGCAAATTTCCATCAGTCGTGTCCCAAGAACTATCACCATCACCACCATCATTATGACTATCATTGAAACTGTTGATAATATTGACAATATTGTTAGAACTATTGCCATCGAAAGTTGACGTTATGATTTTACTGTCATTATCAATATTTAATATTTTTGCTAGTGTTATTGCAAGATGCCATTATTAACCATGATTCTCTTTGCCTCCCGTCAACATTGTGGTTATGCTTTGTGGTAGCAACAAGGCTACTCGCAGCACTAAAACATTAAAGTTAATAGTAACACTAACGAAAAGAATGCATACAGCAATAATGCTAAGAATAGTGGTAATGACACTATTAACAATAAGAATAGAAACAAACAACAAAGCTACTACCGATGAATATTTATGAATATACCTCTCCAAGTTAAAGCACCTGCGTTATGGTTTGTGCCTCCATATCTGTTTCCCCGGCTCCTGCTGCTGCTGCTGCTGCAGCTGCTGCTGCTGCTTCTGCTTCTGCTAGTAGTACCCCGACCACTACCACCACCACCGCTTGAACTCTCCCTAAACCCTATAAACCATCCGAAACCCAAAATCACATCTGAGCCCCAGTTGCTACAGTAGATCGTGTCTGGGAGGATCGCAGACAGCTGCATCGCTTGCAGGAGGCCCAAGACAACCTTCCATGCTCCTGGAATTGGGGCTTGGGGCTTCGGGGTTTAGAATTTAGGGGTCTAGGACGGATAGCAATACTACTTATTCGGTTACTATTAATACGACGATGACATTTACACCGAAATCCGAGTAGTTGCATGGTTATTCTTACTGTTGCTACTAATCTTGTATTATTGATTTAATTGTTACTGAGCTACTATCAGTACTATGCTCATCATCATTAACATTATTACTATGAGTCTAACTAAATATTCTTACTGTTTTTGATGTTGATATTATTACTATGACCACTCTTGTTTTCTGTCTTTGTGCATTCTTTTTATCAGCGGAGATATTATTTTGAATTAGAAAGCCCCCTATATTAGCGCTTGGTGCAGAGCCTCTCGGGGCTGACATGGGGTGTAGTATTTGGGCTTAGGGGAGTCTTGGGATGCCCCTACCCCCCCCCCCCCGGTTTAGGGTTTTGGGTTTAGGGAACAGTTTAGGGTTAGCCCAACCCATCCATTCCACCGGGCCTGCGCGAGCGCAGGAGGTTGCCACCGAGCTGAAGTGGAAAACGTCCAGCTTCTGACAAGAAGGACTTCAGGAACTTTACAACAAAAGTGTAGGGCTTAGGATTCCAGAGGTTTCAAGTTTCGGGTTTCAGGCTTCATCGCTTGGGTAACTTAGGGATCCAGGCTGCGTAGCACTTGGGATTTTAAATTTTAGGACTTATGGCTTTGATGTTTCGGGGCTTGTGGTTTATAGGGTTGCAGAGTGTCTTATACGGTCGAAAATGTTCAGACTTCAATTTTCAGTGCTCGCTTACATTCAAGGGTCGCCCTTGTAATCCGTCTTGCTGTCTGCTGGTTGAGCCTTTTTTGCATATAAACGAGCCGTATCAGCTTTAGTAAGATGTAGCTCGAGCCAATTCTGCGAACTCGTCGCGATTCGAGTGCTTCCTGCCGCGCAGCCTGCCCGTCATCACGCAGCCGGTGTAGATCATGTACCTCGCAAGGGTTTGGGGATACAAGTAGTACCTGCGTAGAAGGTCCGTTTTGCAACGAGAAAAGAATTCATGGTTTTTTCCCCAGGGTTTAGTTTAGGTTCAGCCTCGGCCTGCTAAGAGTCGAAGTTTACAAGCTCCTCACTGTCGAACTTCATGCCAATTACAATGCACGGCAAAATCTCTACTTGGAGAGATTCCACCCAAAAATACTCTCTGTCGTAAACTCCCACCGGATAACTGAACAAGTGAACACCCACAATGTTCTTGTCGTTCTAGTCTAGCAAACTATAGACTCAAACGACATTGACAAGTCTACATGAAGGAAACCAATACTGCAACATGCTACAACTGTTTAGGAGTCTCAAATGCGACGTTGAATTCGTATTGAACCCGGAGGCTACACACACAACTGTTGAGATACCCAACTCTCTCTCTCTCTGTCTGTCTCTCTCTCTCTCTCTCTCTCCACTGGAACATAAAGCCTACGACCATTTGGCAAAACTACAGGTTATACTGAAATCCCCACAACAAAGTACATGAAAACTCTAGCAGCTTGCCTACAACAAGGAGGTGCCCCACAGCGCAGCACCCGCGAGTTAAATGTAGATGCTCAATGTAGGGCCTCAACAATGAGAATAAGGTTTTAGCGCCTATCATAATGCAGGTAGTATGACCAAGGACCCTAAGGACTAATAGTAGCAAAATCTATTTATTCCGACTGAAGAGACAGACTGTTGTGTCAAAGCCGCAGCTTCTGACCAACTTCTTTGAGCTGCAGCAGCCAAGCGCTGCCGTGGCTTGGCGGCAGTGCATTCAACCATTCACCGACCCGTAAAGCGTCAAGCGGGTTTGGGTTTAGGGTTTAGGGTTTGGGACTGAATTGTATCCCCTTACAATCCTCAGATTTTCATGAGGAATACGTTAACCTACCAAAACCAACTCTTTTTTTAATTTCGTATTTTTCACCCTGACCTGGTTTTTATAGGGACCCTACAAAAAATAGGTTTTGGTAGGTTAAGGTAGGCTATAATATACCCAAAAGCCCTGGCGCAACGCTTTTGCTGCTGGTCGACTGGCATCTTACGAGTCTTTAGAGTTCAGGGTTTGCCGTCTGGGCTTCCAGTGCCAGAGGTCATGATTCAGGTTTTGCATTTGTGGGCACGTTTGAAGCTGCGGGTTTAGGGGTTAAGGTCCTTGCTAGAAAGTCTATAAGTCTTAGTACGTAGGACCTTTAGGGTCTATTTGGGGATGGCCTTTCGGCTATCTTTGTCTGTACAAATTGAAGTTAAAAATTCTAAAATTTCAAAAATACAAAAATTTTTTCCTTTTTAAATCAATAGAAATTCAAAAATTTTGAATTTTTGAACTTTTGAATTCAA